CATGGTTTCTATTTTTATATACTTTAAAATATAATTTATTTCTGTGATGCAAAGCTGAATTTCCATCAGCCATTACTCCAGTGTAAAGTGTCACATGATCCTTCAGAAATCATTCTAATATGCTGATTTATTATTAGAATTATCAATGTTGGCAACAGTTGTGCTGCCAAATATTTTTTTTTGGAAACTGTGATACTTTTTCAGGATTGTTTGATGAATAAAAAGTTAAAAAGAACAGCATTTATTCAAAATAGAAATATTTTCTAACAATATAAATCTTTGCTATCACTTCTTAACAATTTAACACATCCTTGCTGAATAAAAGTTTTAATTTCTTTCAAAAAAAGAAAGAATACAATTTACTGACCCCAAACTTTTGAATGGTAGTGTACATAGTTAGAAAATATTTCTATTTTAAATAAATGCTCTTTTTAACTTTTTGTTCATCAAAGTATCCTGAAAAAAGTATCACAGGTTCCAAAAAAATATTAAGCAGCTCAACAGTTTCCAGCACTGGTAATAAATTAGCATATTAGAATGATTTCTGAAGGATCATGTGACACGATGGAAATTCAGCTTTGCATCACAGGAATACATTATATTTTAAAGTATATTAAAATAGAAACCATTATTTTATATTGTAATAACATTTTGATTTGGCCATTTCTGGTTGGCTCAAGTCAACAAAGGAAGTTGCTGTTTATGGTTACAGATGTCATATTTTATTCAAAAATGAGGCTGTGAGTGATGGAAGTATAGTCTACTCAATATTTTTACGAAAGTAACCCAACGTTTTTTTAGGCCATTTCTGGTTGTTTGTGGTTTTTGTGCATGGTCAATGCTTCGGCCAGGTACACAACAGAACAATTTATTAAAAAGAGTTCAGATTAGGAGATAATGAGTCTCATTCACAAAGTGTGTGTACACAAAATTAAATGAAAGTATGAACACACTCAGCTGTAACAACAGTATACTGGTGAAAAATATTTGGAAAACGCTTCAGTGTGTATTGGTGCTTGTGTTCTGGAGAACCGTTTCCATTTACAATGCGTTTTTGCAGCGTTAAGCAATGTAGCCATTCACAGACATACTGTGTTGATTTCTTGTATGTAATGGCCAGTGCCGAGTGATTATAAAGGGAGCTCTCTTGTGTGCTTTCTAGGGGTGCTCCGATCAGGATTTTTGAGGCCGATCACCGATCACCGATACCGATCTTTTTAAAGCCTTTTTTTTATCATTTATAACTATTTATAGTGATACTCCAATCAGGATTTTTAGACATTTATTTAGGGCCTGAATTTAATTTTTGAAAATGACCGCTCCTGAACGCACTGCCGGACAGCAACCGTGCAGTGTGCACACTTTATTAATCTGTTAACATGAGCGCAGAAAAAAATACGCACCACATTCGCACTGCAAACGGAGTAATGTGAACCTGGCATTATTTGTGTGCGCTGCGTGCTTATAGACAAACGCGATGTGGTGATTTGAAGACATTTGTGTATTTTGAGAGAGAAAGAGAGAGTGCGCGCGGTGATTCACTCACGCTGTTTGTGAAATTACATCTCACACAAGGTTTTCAAATGACTT